ATTCTTTTAACAATAAAGTATCACATCCAGTAATTTTTAAGGAGGATGTCGTGTGAAAAATATAACAAGTGAAGGCATGCCTCTTTATTGTTTCCAACGACATAAACTGTACACTTGCATAACGTGAAGTGTAGCGTTTATTGGGTGAGAGGTCGATTGTGGTAATCGATTTATTGATATGAATGATTGGCAATCGATGTCGACGAATCGAATTGAGAACGCGACATCGTTTTTAAATTTAAACCGCCTCCAAATAAAGGGAAGTACATACTTTGTTTTCTGTAATTTACATGTGAAAAAATGCTGTTGATTTACTATTTGCTTTTACCCGCGACTTCGTTTCTGTGGTCGGAATACAATCGTAGGAAGTAGGTATAGAGCCTTCTTCGTTTCATATACTATGTGTATATCAAACGTGAAAAATCTTGTCAAAATTTCAGAATTTGGCGTAAAACATGCCTTGTGACGTCATTACGTCGATCTATAAATTATAATACATCACTGATGACATTACACTGTGCCGTTCATTAGATCCCTTAAGTGTGGGCCGGTAATTGGCAGGCAGGTGTTACCGGGCCCCGGCTCAAGGGCGGTCCTCGAGACGAATATTAACTAGCGCCAGCAGACGACCGCGCCGCGGGCATTTTGTCTGGTGTCGTCTTACTTGTACGTACTTATCATTGTACGACAATCGAGGATCGACTATTTGCATGGTTTTTTTTTTTGATGGGTGAAAATGGTATGGTAACCCCGCCTGCGCTAACGGGATACGCTGGCGGAGCACCAGTAAAATGTGATGGATGAGAATGAAAACAGGCTAGTTAGCCCATCATGATGAATTTATCAGGAATTAATCATGATAGTTTCCCGGGAGAACCGCGAGGAAGTCGACCTGGTTGGGTATATTGCTAGCAATGGGATTCTCAGTCTCCATTACTAACAATCCCTTTCCCCCCACTATTTACATGGTAATCATTGATTTAATTATAAATTTATTGCATAAGAATGATTGTAGTAAGGACTATTATTTTTCTGTGCTTTACACATTTACCAATACATTCACCAAAAACCAAAAATAGAACATTATAATAATACAATAATGGAAAAATAATAATAATAATAAAAAAAAATATAAAAAATGCAATTCTGCACAATTTGTCTACCAAATGGAGGGTTTGTACAAAGGTCGTTTACTTGAATACCTCTGTCCCATTCGTGTTTCTACCGTAAAGCAATTGTGTTTGCATAGCTGTGTTTCGGTTTGAAGGGTGGGAATATTACATATAGCAATGAATTTACAGGTTACACAGGAATAACACCTGAGTCCTCAGGAATGGCAACGCATGGGGAGTAACATGGGCGAAACAGTATACTCTGTTATGTCCATGGTATTGCCATTTAACTTGTATAAAAAACCATTCTAAGTTGCATAAAAAAAAATAAAGAAAAACCATAGAATAAGAAAACAAAACGTCAAAAGCAATCTCCTCTATAGCTTTCGTAATAATAATTCTATTTTAAAAGTATAAGGTTGAATTTCTTACCGCATAAGCGTCATAAATAAAACACATCCGTAAACTTTCTGCCGTTAGTCTCGACGCTATCGTGGCCTTATTCTGTAGTGTAAATAAAAAAAGTAAATCAACAAGTTTTGGCGGGAAATCAGAGCGACTTCCCGCCATATTGCTGACTTACTTAATCTATGTATTATATTTAATAACAGTCATAAATTGTGTATAACCTAAAACTGTTGAGGTTTTATCTATGTTAATTTTAAAAATCTCCTTATGGGAAAGCCTTACATTTAGCAGTGTACAAGTAAGGGCTGAAATAATAATAACAATAATAAATATTGATAAAACTTATTGATTGTGAAATGAATTATCAGAAATATTGGATTCTCGAAGAAAGACACATGAAGGCGACCCTTCCCTTTTGGACATTATAGCGTTATCGATACAATGGCAATAAAAATTAGATCCCGCTGGCGTATGAGGTCAAAGGCGTCATTTCCCGAATAAGGCCTCCCGCGGTACAATATTATTTGTCGGCGCACGGACGCTCGCCGCGCTCTCCGCAGGAAATGAGCGTATTTGTCTTACCTGCACGTACCGGGGCGCCACTTCGGGCTTTCAGCGATAATTTATTTATATACCTACTTTATTGTTAAAAATGAAGGAAGCACATATACTATTTCACTAGCTGTATCCCGCAGATTTGTCCGCGTGAATTAGTACATATAGTATCCTATGTGTTAAGTTAGGATATAATTTATTAAATTTAATTCAAATGCATCCAAAAGTTTTTCGTGAAAAAAAAAAACTACTATTCTACCATTAAAACTTATAAACTTTCGCATTTGTGTATTTATACTTTATTGTACACAAAAATTACATAGTTAATGTCCACATTAAATAAATATATACAACAGGTGAGCTGAACTCTATAAGAGTTCTCTTCCACCAAACTTTGAGTGGAACGGAGCATTAATTACCAGCGGGCAGTGTGTGTACAATAAGAGGTGTGTGTGTACAATAACAGTATAGTACTAGTACTTACATATTATATATATATTTATTATTATATATGATAATAATATGATTGTAAAAACAATAAACCAAATTGCTTTTGCGTGTATTTTTGTAAACAATACTTGACTATATTCAGATAGCAGATTCGGGACCATTCAGAATCCTTTATCTTGATGATTTTTTTTATACAACTTAGAATGGCAAACGAGCCGACGGCCCACCTGATGGAAAGTGGTAACCGTCGCCTATAGATATGAGCAGTACCATGGACATAACAGAGTATATTGTTTCGCCCATGATACCCGCCATGCGTTGCTATTCCTGAGGACTCAGGTGTTATTCCTCTGTACCCAATAAATTCACGCTATATCCCACCCTTCAAATCGAAACACAGCCATGCAAACACAACTGCTTCACGGTTGAAACACGAATGGGACAGAGGTACCCAAGCAATCGACTTTTGTACAAAGTCTCCCTCTGATGATCCCAAATCTGGTTATTATTTTTGCATTAAAATATACACTGCCTAATGGAAGAATTACAACAATCTTTGTTAATAATAAACGTTAAATTAACTGACGGGTCTATTAGAAATGGAAATCGTCGCCTTTGGAAATGTCTAGTTTTATAAAAGTTGTTAAAGGTTAGGATAGCATGATTGAGATTTTATGAATTTAAATTGACCACCATTTGAAATACATAGATGAAGTTAATACCAATAATTCTTAAGTTTGACCTTAAGGATCCAGCAATTTAACTGCAATATTTTACTCTGTAAATTGAAACACTGCTTTCGAGAACAGCTGCTTTCTAGCAAGAATAGATGAGACTGAAGTGAGTCATGGAAGCAGATTTATGCAGTCTCTCCGTGGAAAAAATTAAACACATTGTTTGGCTCTCAGATTTTTCTCCGATAAGACCGCATTTTCAAAAATAACATTCAAAAGACAAAATTTAAAAGAGAAGAAATATTTTCAAGTCGGTTGTTTTTTTTTTCATGTTTGTTACCTCATAACACTGTAATTTGTAAACCGCTTTAGGAATTTTTTTATTTTTAGGGGGCTATACTTTTAGATTGGGTTTTTGGAAATTTTATGCAGTTTAGTTAAATAGCTTAATTTTTAATTCAAAATAACTGTTTTTGTCACGATTGAAGTTGGTTTTTTTGTGAAACAAAGTCGATAATGTATTACTTTAATAATTTACTGCCAATTAATGCAATAAAGAGTAAATGAGTGAAAAATGCACAGACAAAAACTGTAAACGCTGTCAGTGAGACCACACCTGCCGCCCGGGGCCATACATTCACAAATTCACTTACCAACATTTATGAATGTTTATAATTAAAGAGGCTATATCGTGCCAACTCGCACGCTACCAAATGGCTTATGCGTATTATTATAATTTGGGTCACTATTTTTCATTGGCTACATTATTTAGATAAAGTTGCGTATTTTTTATTAATTTTTACCTGCGATTTTGTCCATATGACCAGGATATGTTTACCTACTCAGAGAAAAAGTGGCACCTACATATGTCTTTCTCCCTCCTACATATAGTACGTGTATACTGAATTTCATAATGTCTGGTTGAATCGTTAAGGTGCTAAGAGGTAACAAACAAACAAACAAATTTTCACATTTATAATATTATGAAGAACTAGTAAGGATTATTTATTATACAATAATACATTTACTGATAGTTTTCTTAATCTAATTACACGTAAATTAAACTGGTGGTTATTACATTAAACATTTTGTATGCTCAAGAACTTTTAATAATAAAATAAATTTTTCGCTAAACAATTTACTTGATATTTTGTTTCAAATGGGCCGTAATATGCTTGTTTAATTATTTTTTTTAAGTAATTTTCATAAAATCACACTAATTCGTTTGATCTTCAAGCTGCGATACTTTTTTTTTATTTGGATGGTGATGAAATGGTAACCCCACCTGCGCTATCTGTATACACTGGTGGAGCATCAGTGAAGGATGATAGGTGAGAATGAAAAGACAGGTCAGTTAGTCCGTCGTGATGAGTTCCCTGGAATTAAGCGCTATAGTTTTCAAGGGGTACCACATTGAGGTCAACCTGACAGTGTATATTGCTAGCAATGGGATTGGCAATTCCCGTTACTAACAATACTTCCCCCCCTTCCAAAACTCTATGTTATGAGGAACCAAGATACGAGTAGTAGCAGCAGTATTTCCGAACCGATACGACAACATAACCTTCAAGAAAAAGAGTATATTCCTTTTTAAAAGGCCGGCAGCCTGCGATGCCGTAAGTGTTGCGGGTGATCATGGGCGGCGGTAGTCACTTACCAGCAGGTGAGCCGCATGCTCGTTTGCCCCCTGTGTTGTAAAAAAAATATATAACTTAAAATTTTGCTAGACAAAATAAACAGCGAATTCAGTTGTTACAAAATAATCAACACGGGAGATGATGAAATAAAATAATCATCATGCCAGCTATTATTGACAGATGCTGTGTATTGTTGATGATGCTTCACCATTGCAGATGTATCTCGTTTGCAAATACCCCAAACTGAATTGTAAATATGAATGCTTTCGTTTCCAGGTGCAGTCTGCGACTGGTGGGCTCCGACGCTTCGTACAAGCTCAGCTCTCACGAAATGGATGCTTTGAATGCTGTAAGTACCCTTCCGATTGTTTTATTTTAATATGTAATACGTTAAACAGCATTACCAGTCTTAAATTAAGTAGAGCTTATACTGTGGGTACTAGGCTCTTGATAGATATATTAAACTTTTTTTATTTTGTTAAGACAACATATTATGGTTAATTTTAAACTTTCTCGTTATTTTTTCACTATCATATCAGCCTTTAACTGTCCACTGCTAAACTTAGGTGTCCCCAATATGGAGAGTTTTGCTAGTAGTTACCACGCTTGGCTGACGGGTTCTTTTTTGTTGGGTGAAAATGGTGTGGTAACCCCGCCTGCGCTAACGGGATACGCTGGCGGAGCACCAGTGAAGGGTGATAGATGAGAATGAAAACAGGCCAGTTAGCCCATCATGATGAATTCATCAGGAATTAACCATGATAGTTTCCAGTTTCCACAATCCATTGTACAGGCGGTAGAACACGCAGAGTGAGGCAAAATCTCTCCTAAGACTTAAGGGTTCGATACCGCTTGTGAGCCTGGGATCATCGACAATTCTCATAGCTCGTCGTTGCAACGAGTCGAAAGGTTCAAGCTGGTATTTAGGTGCTGCGGCCCATAAGTGACAGCAATACTCCATGTGGTGTTCCTTGTATAAAATATATATTTTACAACAAAGAAGATTCGTTTAATAAATAGTGTTAATAAAATAGGCTTTATAAAGAATTTGGACCATATATTTTCATCTAAAATCGTATTTAATTAGGGGAAAGGGATTGTTAGTAATGGGGTTAAATAATCCCATTACTAGCAATATACCCTGTCAGGTCGACATCCACGTGGTTCCCCCTGGAAACCATCGTGACTGATTCTAGTCGAATTCGTCAGGATGGGCTAACTGACCTGCTTTCATCCTCATCAGCCATCTATCACTGGTGCCCCGACAGCGTATACCGTTAGCGCACTATTTCATTATCACTCATTAAAAAATATGGTTTTTTTTAATGGGTAACAATGGAATGGTAACCCCACCCGCGCTATCGGTGTACACCGGCGGGGCACCAGTGATACATGATAGGTGAGGATGAAGCAGGTCAGTTAGCCCATCGTGACGAATTCAACAAGAATTGTTCACGATGGTTTCCAGGGGGAAATACGTGGAGGTCGACCTAATAAGGCATATTGCTAGCAATGGGGCTGTCAAACTCCATTGCTAACAATCCTTTTCCCCCCAAAAAACGTATATTTAATTATATAATTTACATTACTAATCGTATTTAACTTGGAAATTAGAAATTTCTGCTGATCCCCTCGCGAAAGAGAGAAGACTAGTGTGATTGTCGCATTAAATTGGATGCAAAACAAACACAGCTATCTCCCTCGAGTTATTGCGTAATTAATAACTATATGTATGTGTAGGTATAGTAATGGAGAATGACGCACCTACAGCCTCCTTTTGCTATATCATAGCAATGAGGTGTGGCATGGGCGGTACAGTATATACTGTGATTACAGAATATACAATTCTTTTTGACGTTTACGGTGTTGGTCTCGTCTATGGGTGTTTATATGTTTCAAGAGATATTGTCCATTCCTCAATAATTAAATTCATTTAGTCGCCTCTTACGACATCCACGGGAAAGGAAGGGTTGGTCCATTCTATGCTGGGACCATATGACGATCAGTTATATAATAACAGATTAATTAGGAAATATGAATTTGATTTTTTTTTATACAACTTAGAATGGCAAACAAGCTGACGGCCCACCTGATGGAAAGTGGTAACCGTCGCATATAGACATGAGCAGTACCATGGACATAACAGAGTATACTGTTTCGCCCATGATATCCCCCATGCGTTGCCATTCCTGAGGACTCAGGTGTTATTCCTCTATACCCAGTAAATTCACACCATATCCCACCGTTCAAACCGAAACACAGCCATGCAAACACAACTGCTTCACGATTGAAACACGAATGGGACAGAGGTACCCAAGCAATCGACTTTTGTACAAAGTCTCCCTCTGGTAATTCATTACTCATTATCATTTGTTCATTGAATGATTTCTACACACAGATTTAAGTAGCAGATAGCTTTTATATTTATAAGGTGTTTAAAAATAGGATTAAAATAAATACATGTAACCTATTCCTTTACCAGCTCGAAATTTAATGCTAAATACTTGTATTAGTCGTGACTATTTAAAATGGACCCTATAGTATCAACGTTAGGTTGAAATTTCTTTATAAATAATCACAAGATCTTTCTAATTCTGGAAAGTTCCTTGGTTTTATAATTATAGATACAGCCTTCTGGTGTTAGTCGGTTGCACATAAGTTTTAACTTGCGTTCAGGCCAGCTGCATCGCGTTTCTTTACCAAACATTTTGAAAGCAGTTTAAAAAGATTTCTTTATTATATTTTACTGTGCATGTTACAGAATGTCTTTGTTCATTTTAAACTAATGTTATTTTTAATAGAATGATTGTACTTCTTTAATCGTTTTATAAGTATTTAGCTAATATTTGTTGATTCATTGTTGTTTTGATTATTTATATTGTGTCATTAAAATCACTATTGTACTTAGTGTTATTTATGGAATATATTATATTAACTTTTATTTGTGTCTTTATAATATAAGTTTATTAAAGTATATAAGTAGTCTTATTTTCTGATATTGCTCACAACTTAGTTTATATGTTTATTTTTATATATTTATTTACTTAATTTTCTTGCTCTGTATAATTATGTTAAAGTGAATGCTGTGAATACCTATAATAGGCATGTGCATTAATATTGTATTGTATTTAATGTTTGTTATATATATATATATATTCTTATCATTCATTATATATACATTGCATTTAATACTTATAGCGATTAGTTTAACATTTAATAAGTTCTATGTTTAATTCTAATAGAAAAAAAAAAAAACAATGAGGACCAATAGTATTTTAGTTAATATAATTTCCTAAGGCCTCCAATACGTTCACCTATCGACTAACACTGCTAGTGTCACCCCATTAGGTATTATATTCGTGAACATATATTTATTTATATTTTTTTAACACGAAATAGCAATGTTGTCTCGCTTTTATTTTTCACTAGCTTTCACTCACGACTTCATCCACATGATCGGTACTTATTTACTATCCGAGATAATAAAGGTAGCCTATATACTTCTCCATCCCATATAGTGTATACCAAATTTCATATTGATTGGTTAAGCTGTTAAGGCATTATAAGGTAATAAATAGTAGCTATGTGTTCCCGGCATAGAATAGATTTCCTTTCTCGTGTCGTAAGAGGCGACTAAGAGAGGGCGAAGGATAGGCAGCAGCGTCCCTCTTAAAACATCTCTAAAGCCTGACTGCGGTTGCCAATCCGCCTGCCAAGCGTGGCAACAAATAGCAAAACCATCTAAGTTACAGTTAACAGTTAAAGGCTGATATATAAAGTAACAAATATACAAATATATAGTATACGTATTTATCTAATATTTTATTATCTATCTTAATATTTTATTTAACTGTATATTTTTTTATGTACTCTAAATATTAATAGTCGTAGCACTTCAGCTACCCGCTAACAACATGCTTTCTAACTGCATTGGGTTGACTGGAAGAGATCTCTGTCGGAGATAAATCCACCCTTGCTTACAACATTTATTTATTTATTTATAAAAGACACACCAACAATATGTTCACAATAATTAAGTAGACAATATACAATGTTATTAGTAAGTAAAAGAGAAAAACTACTATTCAAAAATGCTTAAATCTAAGTTTGAACAAAAAAATCTTACTCCTCACTACCAAGCTTAAGACCATATGAACACATCAATTAAAGGTGTATACAGCTCTCACAGATAAGCGTCAATGTACACTAACTAACAATTATACAATTAGAAATGCATTAACAATGTAATTTTCAAGTGCAGTAAAAAATATGTACAAACTTACTTTCACATTTATATGCCATAATATTATTAGTAAAGATTTTTAAAGCTCTTTCGAATCGTGGTTGCGAAGTTAATCTCGCTCACTAACAGTAGTTTGTGCGACCTGTCTGTTATTGTACCACAGTTTAGGACAACCCACGGGTGCCACCGTGGTCGTGTGGCGCCAGACCATATTGGCTGGCTTTTGTTTTATTATATTAAATGGAAAAGCCTACAATTATATTCATTGTTTTACTTGAGAGAGCCTTTGTACCTCGTCTACATCCGTATAGTGATTACCTTTCACCTACGTCTGTCGCTGTGCTCGCTTTAAAAAGGAATAAATGTTTTTATATAATTTTTAGTTTGAATATCATTAAAATTCGTATTGTCCCTCTAGACAATTATATAGCAAGAATTGACAATGTGCAAATGATATATTTGATGTTTAACGTTTTTATAACCTTTTTTAATATACCTTTGAGTTCAAATGATACTTTAAAATTAAAAGTTATTATCCAATCAGAATGATGCCATTAAGAGACTACCGACTAAACCGTCTTTCAAACAAAACGTTCACGTTCACTTTTTTACGTTATCCGAGCAGTGAGTGCTTCATATTATTCTCAATTTCGTGTATAATATAGTGTATATCATATATGTGTAAGTATATTTGTTATTCATATATATTTATTCGTTTATATATGTAATTTTAGTATGTATGTATATCAATAATTAGTAGTACCGCATTCGAGTATTTTGACACTTCCCTATGGTTGACTGGGAGAGAATGCTTTTAGCATTAAGTCCGCCATGTACACATATTTGTACTAATGAATAAATAAATAAATGAGCCATCCCTTCCTATCCCATGGGCATCGTAAGAGGCAACTAAGGGTACTAAGGGAAGAATGGGCAGCAGTGTCTTTCCTAAAACGTCAACAAAGCCTAACTGCGGTTGCTAGCTTGCCAAGTGTGGCAACTACTGGCAATACTCTTCTTATTCGGAGGCCTATGTTCAGCAGTGAACAGTTAGCGGTCGATATAATAAAAAAATGCAATTTAATGTGTGTATATATATATATGTG